CCCTCTCGCGTGCGCGCGCTCTCACCCTCTCGCGTGCGCGCGCTCTCTCCCTCTCTCTTCCGTTCTCTCACATTCTCTCAAGCTGTCTGTTGTTTGCTCTCGCTCTCACTCCCATCTGCCTCCTGCGTGCTCTCTCTCATGCACGCACGGCATTGAGGGAGCGAGCGCTGTTGGACGCTCAGTGCTGGGTGTTGTCTGGTGTCAGGGCATGTGGGACAGCGCCAACAGGCCAGCAATAACACCCATACCCTCATTGGGACTCCTGCAAAGCTCAGACCAGTTCCAGTGACTGTACTCTGTTTCTGTCTGTCTCTCTCTCTCTTTCAGCACCAGTGAGATGCAGCAAGGCAGAGTTAGAATCTTCAAACTAGACCGGGTGCCGTGTACGGCTGACCGCTTAGCCATCCTCCATCCTCCATCCTCCATCCTCTCGTCTGTTTCTGTGTCAGCGTCTGCCCTAAGGCTGTGCGGAGAAATCTATGTGCTAGCATAACCCCACAGTGACGAGAACGCACAGATACCGCTCACCTCTCTGGGAACTGTATATCAAAGCAAGCTACACGGCAAACATTTCTCAATAAAGAAATATTTCACTTCATTTCCACGGTGTCAGACTAACTTGCTTTCCATAAGTACACAAAAGCCACTTTCAGGTCTGTTCAGGGTGGTTTATATACAGAATAACAGATACCCCGGGAGGGAGTTACAGACTGGAATCTGATCGAGGGGGTTCGGGGTGGTTTATATACAGAATAACAGATACCCCGGGAGGGAGTTACACACTGGAATCCATTCAAAGGGGTTCGATGGGGAGAAGGAAGCACAGTTTGAGATGTGTTCTCCTGGGGCAGAAATGCCCTGTGTCTGATCCAAGTTTAAAAACGAGAGGAGGTGGGCTGTGTGTGGGATATCACTGCCTGGAAATCAGTCGCAAGTCTGTAAAATTAAATGTCTGGCTTTGTCGAAAACTGCATGTGAAACCAGGAAGGAAAGCAACGTACGTTTCTCCGTTGCTTGATTATGGCCTTGTTTGTTCTGGGTCTCGTCGCCTCAGCAACAGAAACATTAGTGCCGGAGAGGATAATGAAATTGAAGTTGCTTTGGCAACATCAGCCTGGGTGTTTTGCTATGGGTCACCAGACACAGAGAGAGAGAGATAGAGAGTCTCTCACGATGCACTGCAGCATCTTGCTGAGGCGCCTCTGACAACGCCTTCCGAATCTGCCACCTCTAGCCCCCCCCC